ATTTTATGCTTCCACTTATTTGTATCTTCTTTTGTTTTTATACTTTATTTATTTATTTATTATTTTTTAGAGAGAGATCGGAAGGCAGAGGGAGAGATAGAAACATCAATGTGAGAGAGAAAAAACATTGGCTGCCTCCTGCATGCCCCTTCCTGGGGATGGAGCCCACAACCCTGGCATGTGCCCTCACCAGGAATCAAACCATGATGTCTTGGTTTCTGTGTCAATGCTCAGTCACTGAGCCATACTGGCAAGACTATGTATTTTCTTCAATTTCTTTCTTCGGTGTCTTATAATTTTTCAACTACAGGTTTTTTACATTATTAGTTAAATTTATTGCCAGGTTATTGTTGTTGTTTTTTATGCTATTGTAAATAGGGTTGTTTTCTTAGTTTCCCTTTCTGATTTTATGCAGTGTTTTATTACTGTATAAAATGCAACCTATTTCCACATACTTATTTTACAAGCTTCTACTTTATTGAATTCATATATTAGGAATGGGTTCTGTAGAGTAATTGGACTGCTTATTCTCATGAGAAACAAGCCTCAAACTGGAATTTCTGTAGTAATTTCATGGTTCCCTCTTTGTTTAGTACAGAGGTATATTTTGAGACTATTGAAAAGTAAAACCCAATAGTACTTACACGAAAGATGGGCAAATGTATGTAGCTGAAACTCCTGATCATAGACAATTTAGCTGATATCTGGCAACCAAAAGATTGACATTACTTCATATGCAAGCAAGAATATCTCTATAATTATTAAATGGGCAACTCATTGATGGACAACTTTAAAAATAACAAATAAATGAAACCTGGAGAGAAAAGCAATGTGTCAAAAACAACAGATGGTCAAATAACACAGCACATATGGAACATTTGGGTAAAAACCAATTTGCTGAGTGTTGCAGAAAAGGCCAAAACAAAATACACTAGAGATCTCTGTAAACAAAACAAGATGTGCATTGTTTTTAGAGAGAACCATTTCATGGAACTATACAACCTATAGTGATTTAAAATATTTATTTGACTCCTTTTGGAAATAACTTTTACAAAAATTGATCCCCCTCACCCCTTCCCCAAACACACACACACACACACACACACACACACACACACACACACACTTTTAATGAATAATGTAAACCCAAAGCATTTTGATGATGCAGTACTCAATGTGACCCTCTGTAATTAGATTCACATGGGAGTCTTGTGCAATTAACTAGAGAAAATGAAGAGATCTTAAGGTTCAGAATGATTTATCATGTTTTATCTTTGTTTTCCAAATGTGTATGCATACACACACACACACACACACACACACACACACACACACACACACACAAACTTTAAAATCACCCTAGGAATAATAACCAGGGTCATGAAAGTTCACATCCTTTATGGGGCCAGGAGTCATGGCAGGTTATACAGGAATTACACAGGGAAACTTCAGCTGTTTCTTTATTCTTTTGCAGCAGGGGTGTTAAGGCAAAAATCACTTCTTCAGATCAAATTGGTATTATACCTTTGAAGTGAACCATAGTACAAGGGCAGTCAACCTAAAAATGGAAGTATTTATAGGAAATGTGCCTCAGAATGTGAGGCAGAGTTATGAGCAAGCTTAGTTGTTAGAGACAGCTACTGACAGCCCTCTGAGCAATGCAGCTGAGATATTTGCTCTCAGACAGTGGTTGAGCCCATCATTTCTCAAACGTAACTTAATAGCAAAGGTTATCTTCCAGGTCATGACCCTGTGCTGTAAATTTAGATAGTCCTAGATTCAATTTCAGATCACTCAAAGGCCATGTAAGCTCTGTGACTTGGAGCAAGTTGCTTAATACTCTAAGCCTTCATTTCCTTATCTGAAAAATAGAAATAATAATACTTTTCCTAGAATTACCATTTAACATAAGACCTTGGCTCAGGTGTTTGGCACATAGTAAGTGTTCAGCAACCCTTAGCTAAAATAATAAACATGAATAATAACCTGATATTTAAACACATTTTGTTTTCTTCTCCCCAAGTTTCCTATGGTTTTCAAATGACCTGACTACCTAGGCATTTGTAAGAAAGCTGGGAGAGACCCATTGAACTGTAAGCACCCTGGGCAACTTCAGTATGGTTGTCAAACTGTTTGAATGCAATCTGAGTTCAGGCAATTCATTATGCAAACCCTATATTTCTGCAATGTCTGCTGTGTGTATAGCAATTTGGTGGGTTCCTAGGGTGTAACGAAAGAACTTGCCTGAGAGATTGTTGGCTAAGTTCATGGATCAGACTAAAACAAGTGTTATAATCCTACCTAAAAAAGGGAGGTAAAGTAAAAAAAAAAAAAAAAAAAAAAAAATATATATATATATATATATATATATATATCTACTTAAGGACAAGATACTACAAAGCAAGACATGGTTCAGTTAGGAAATCCATTAAAAAATTAACTATGTAGCATGATTTAGTGGCTCGGTGAATAACAACATTGAACTGAAATTAAGTTCTAGAAAGAAGACAGCCTCGTAGGTTGTGTAGGTTGGGTTAATTTCATGTGTAAACTTGACTGCACCCAGGGATGCCTGGTCACTTGTTAAACATTATTTCTGGTGAGTCTGTGAAGGTGTTTCCAGAAAAGACTAACATTTGAATTGGCAAACTGAGTAAAGCAGGTAGCTTTCCCCAGTGTGGGTGGGCATTGTCCAATTTTCTGAGGACATGAAGAGAATCAAAAGGTAGAGGAATCTTAAAATTATTCTCTGCCTGAGTGATTTGGAACATTGGCATGCCTAGTTCTCAGACCTCTAACAAATTGAAATCTACACCATTAGCCTCTCAGCTCTCAGGTCTTTGAACTATACCAGCATTCCTGAGTCTCCCCCTTGCAGATGGAAAGTCACTTCCAAAATCGCTTGAGCCTCTCTCTCTCTCTCTCTTTCTCTCTCTCTCCCTCCTCCTCCTCTTCTTCCTCCTCCTCCTCCTCTGCCTTCTCCTCCTCTTAGTTTTTTCTGTTTCTCTTAAGAACCCTAAATAACACTCAAAGTGTAGCATATTTTACCTTATACCCTATGTTAAAAGATACAGTTTAGTAGCTCTCCAAGTTCTACAGAAGAAGAAATAGGTTTAGATAACTTCTTTTACCAACATGAGAAAATGGGATATTAACTCTAAAATTGTCTTATAGTTTACCTATCTCCCAGACTAATGAGTCCATCATGAAAGTGGCCACTCACCCATGTTTTTCTGGATGATCTGTCCGGATAGGAGTCAATTGTGTGACTCCAAGAGATTTTGATCTCTAACACTAGAAGCATAACAACTGCGATAGAAAAACAGAAATGAGAACTAGAAAGCCTTTCCAAAAAGAAGGATCCAAGCCCAGTAAACTATAGCACCTTCAGATCATGAAGAATCTAGGCCAGGGTCTCCCCAAAGCTCAACAAGCAAAATGCTACAAGTCCAATGACCTCCCTGAGACTGTGACTATGAACAAAGGATCCTTTTTGCAACTTCATAACCATGGCACCCCCTCTTCCATCAGTCCAACTTCATCTTGTAAATATTTCCTATGAAGACCAAAATGTAAATATAATATAAACTACATTTATAACCTTGCATCAATTCTTAATAATCTGCTATTTTCAATAACAAGCAGACTACTTGTTATTCACTTTTATAGATGTTTCCTATAAAACACATCTTTGAAACATAATGGTAAATTTTGACATTTATTACCTAGAAAGCATTTGTATTTTCCTCTTGGTTTCCATAGCACATCACTGTGTGTTCATGTGACTTAAAAGCACCTAAAAAGATATGAAGAAGGGCATCTGAAAACATTCACAATTTTATCAAGATAGATAATAAAAAAAAAAAATCCAAAGGACTTATTCAAAAATAATACCAAAATTATCAATTATCAAAGTAGGAAATATTAGCATGCACATTTATCTTGATGCCCATAATGTAGATCTAGGATAAGAGTGGGATATCCTTTAGATAAGGATAGAAGGACAAAGAATATGTGAGATCTCTAGAGTACTTCAGTGACATATCAATGTACAGCAAAGATAATGAGTACTTCAGTGACATATCAATGTACAGCAAAGATAATGAGTGTTTTTTATTCCACATTCCCAGCCCCTTGCTGTAGTAAAGTTTCCTATGCCCTTTAATTCAGTGGCATAGGAAAAAGGGTGTATTCCTTACCTTGCTACAACTCATTATTTATAAGCCATTAATTTATTACTTTCCTTCCTGTCGCCTTCATTTGAGTTTATTTACTGATTTCTCCAAATCATCAACTGAACTCTGAGAACTATTTTGATCCTCAGGATAACCTAACAACCAATTGAAATTTCTCTTGTTCTCCTCAACCGCGAGTCATCTCTCACCTTATGCATTTATTTATCCATTTATCTATTCAATTTACCATCTATTGGCTCCTACTCTCATGACAAGTATATTTGCTTGCTAGAATCACCGTAATCATGTACCGCAGTCCGAGAGTAGTTTCAAAAACAGACATTTATTATCTCATGGTTGTGAAGGCTAGAAGCCAGCAGGGTTGACTCCTTATAAGGGCTTTGAAAGAAGGATCTGTTCTAGGCACCTGTCTCTGGCTTATAGATGACCATCTTTTCCCTAGTTTTCTTCCTATTGTCTTCTTCCTAGGGGTGTCTATGTCTAAACTTCCCTCTTTTTTTTTTATAAGGACACCAATCCTATTGGGTTAGGAACTCACCCTACTCCACTATGACCTCATGTTAACTAATCTACATCGACAAAGAACTTATCTACAAACAAAGTTGCATTTCTGAGATGTCGGGGATGAGGACTTCAGCATAAAGACTTGGGTAGGGGCCAAGCAAGCGGTTTGGATATTCGTTGGTTCGTTGACGCGGCCCGTGCCCTTAGCTTCCTTCCGGGCTGCGGCTTCTCCCTCGGGCGGCCGGAGCGGCGTCACGGACTCAGAAGCGGCCTGAAAACCTCGGCATCGAGTGGACGAAAATGGCCCGCACCAAGCAGACTGCGCGCAAATCCACGGGTGGGAAGGCGCCCCGCAAGCCGCTGGCCACGACGGCCGCCGAGAAAAGCGCCCCCTCTGTCGGCGGGGTGCAGAGGCCCGGCCGTTACAAGCCCGGGACCGTTGCGCTTCGAGAAATCCGCCGTTACCAGAAGTCCACCGAGCTCCTGATCTGGCAGCTGCCTTTCCAGCGGCTGGTGAGGGAGATCGCCCAGGAGTTCAGGGCCGACCTGCGGTTTCAGAGCGCGGCCATCGGGGCGCTGCAGGAGGCCAGCGAGGCGTACCTGGTGGGCCTGTTCGAGGACACGAACCTGTGCGCCATCCACGCCGAGAGGGTCACCATCATGCCCAGAGACATCCAGCTGGCTTGCCGGATACGGGGGGAGAGAGCTTGAGGGAAGGCAGCGTTTACGGTGTTTTGTAATAAATTCTGTACGATGCTTTGGTTTCATTTGTGACTTTTGTGTGTGTGTGTGTGTGTGTGTGTGTGAGAGAGAGAGAGAGAGAGAGAGAGAGAGAGAGAGAGAGAGAGAGAGAGAGAGAGAGGGAGATTGGGTAGAATCTGTTGCATTTGTACTTAAGTCATTCCGTCTTTCACTCAGGATGAATGCGAAAAGGGACTGGCTGTTGTTCACAGACCTCAGTGAACGTGAGCACTGTTGCTCAGGAGTGACAAGTTGCTAAGAGGCAGAAGGGATGGGTGATATTTCTTGCTTCTCGTGATGCATGTTTCTGTATGTTAGTGACTTGTTGGGGGGTCATGAAGGTACTGGAATTGAGAAATGTGTACCAGGGTCCTTTTGCAATAAAACTGGTTATGACTTGATCCAAGTGTTTAACAGTTGGGGCTGTTAAGTCTGACCGGGCATCACTGTGATACAATAGAATGTGGGCTTTTTTCAAGTGTGAAGAGACAAGTCTTTTTTTTTTTTTTAATCAATCTTTATTGTTCATATTATTACAAAGGTTCCTCATTTCTTCCCCCCTCCACCAGGTTCCCACCCCACCCTCTGACCCCTCCCCATCCCCCATTGTCCTCATCCATAGGTGCAGTTTATGTTCAGTCTCTTCTTCCCTCCCTTTCCCCAATAGTAAATCCCTTTTCAGATAGTAAATCAGTTACTTAGCATTTTCTCAGATCACTAATACCTCCACATGCCCAATGATACACTTCACACAAAAGACATTTCCCAATAGGTCCACCAGCCTCATCCAGGCCCCACCCAAGGCACTTACAGATCAACACCCCAGCCCTATACTAACTCAACACATCCAGATCTAAGCCTTCATCACTTGATTCAGCAGACCCTCAAGTTCCCACGAAAGTTTCCAGCCATGTCTGAGAAGCAGCCATGGGGCAGGGGCAGGCGAGGAGTGAGCTGCTCCGGGCCTGGCCGCACCCAACCCGCCCGCTCCCCTGGGCCTGGCCGCTCCCAGCCTGGCAGCCGCTGCTCCGGGCCTGGCCGCACCAGCCACAGTGTAATAACTTACAGTTTCCTAAAAAGAAAAGTAAACCTGGCAGCTATAGAATACACTATGTGCATTTATAATAGCTATTTTATATATCATAGTGTCAACATTTTTAAGTTAAATGTTTTACATTCACATGTGGGGAGTCTTGTCATTAAGGTGTGTGTAATTTAGGGTCCAGTTGGCATTCGAACTAGACTGCACTTGTTTTCTAGTAGTAAAATACTTTGCAAATGAAAAAAAAAAAAAAGATTTGGGTAGGAGGAGAGGGAGACTATTTAACCCATAATATCTAGGTACAGTATAAACATTGATGATGAAAGACTCCATGTAAGAAATATCTCTCTCCCCCCAATCTAACCAGAGGCCTTTGCCTCCTATTTTATTGTAAAACCAAGGCACATTCCAGGGAATTTCCATCAACTGTCATGTTCTTCACCTCTTAATTACGTACAATTCCTCAGACATTCTTTGTCCTTCTATCCTTATCTAGAAACTATCCCCTCCCATATCCTAGATTCCAAACTTTCCATTGTGAAAAATTCATGTTGGGGACCCTCTGGATACACCAAAGTCTAGCCTGAAATAAGCCTCACTAAGTAGACACTTGCAAACAGTAGTGATGGTTATCTCATCATCTGTTTCTCAATTAGTTTTAAAATCATTTTGTTTTGTGCTCTGTCCTCTTAGATTCATTGCCTGGGGGCCTGCAGTCTTAACTGGAAAAAAATACAGATTAACAGGAGAAAAGGAATATGTATTTTATTAATATTTTATATGCATACGAGTTCCCAGAAATAAATGAAACTCAAAGAAATGTTTAGACTCAGGGATTTATATATAATTTTGAGGGACAATAAATTGTTGCAACAGGACAAGTAAATAGATAAGGTAACTAGTGGGAGACAAGGTGTCAACCCTGCTGACACCTGGATTTTGGACTTAGAGCCTTCATTTTAATTTCTTTATTGATTAAGGTATTATATATGTGTCCTTATTTCCCCATTACTCCTCCACCACCCTCCCCCCACCCCCAACTCATGCCCTCACCCCTCTGTTGTTTATGTCCATTGGTTAGGCTTATATGCATGCATACAGGTCCTTCGGTTGATAAGGATTTAGACAAGTTTAGTTCATGCAGACTGGCCTTATTGCCAACTCTCCACCTCTGCTGATTAGAGTTGCTTTCCACTTCCTGTAACTGGAGAAGGGGAACCTTCACAAAGGGAAATTTATGCCTGCTTTTAAGCAGAAAAAAATGAGGAAAGAGATCTCCTTCCACATATATTGAGTCTTTAAAAAAATGCTTTTATTGATTTCAGAGAGGAAGAGAGAGGGAGAGAAAGATATAAACATCAGTGATGAGAGAGAATCATGGATCAGCTGCCTCCTGCATGCCCCCACACTGGGGATGGAGCCCGTAATCTGCCCTGACCTAAAATTCAACCACTGAGTGACACCAGCCAAGCATCTGATGATTCTTAATTGCCTTCAGCTCAAATATCCTTTATACCAAAGTAGCATATTTTGAGGTGGCATATCCTGATCCCCTTCCATTCCCACATATTTCATTTTGTAAAAAGAGTCTCTATATAAATATGGTTTGCCCATATTTCTCACTCTGAATAAAGTATTTTTCAGTGTGTACCAGGGTATGATTTTTCTAACCTATGTAAAGTATTATTAAGTGATGTGGTCATCATACCATCACATATTTTTCATTCTGTATTAAATTCATGACTGAGGCATTTTCTAATTTTAGAATTTAAATGGTGAGTATTTAGAATATGCCTAAAATAATAATTCAAAGATTTAAAGGTTTACTATAGAATATATCCTAATTATCAGGTGTATTTCTGAGGTTTTTATCTGTATCCAATTGTATTTTGCCTTTGTAGATAAAACCCTTTACTATAGTTCTAAATGAAGGCTTATTTTCATGAATTTTTTAAAAAAAGACTTAATTATTACAAAAGAGTACTGAAAAACCTGGAAGCCCCAGAGAATAGCAAATGATACATATTCATTACTCTGATAAGTAGAAAATAAAATAAATTTGAAAGTAAGAAATAATTTTGCAGGCAATGAAAAAAAAATGTATTCATGAGTTAAATTCAAGATAATGGGTGTTTAATAACTGAATGAGACATGTATTTTCAGTCAAGAACTGTGTCTTGGGACATGATTAACCTAATTTGATATTCAGACACTAAGAAGATCAAAATTGGAAAAAAGCTTCCAAAGGAATAAACATATTCATTTTTTTAACATTTAAAAAATAAGTGTTAAGCCTCTGTTATGCTCCAGACATTGTGCTAAGCACCAGAAACATAATATAGTGTAAGATAGACACAATTTTAATTATTCAACAGAACAGGCTAACAAAGGGAAATTGTACTACAAAGTGAGATACTGTTATAGGTAGGAGAAGCTTGAGGTCATCTGGAAATACTGTTAGCAAGAGCATCTCATCTCATGTACAGCATTTTTTCCTACTTTCCTAAAGGAAAACTGTCTAAGAGATAAGCAAGATCTGTCAGAGCAAACGGAGAGGGAAATGTGTTCCAAGAAGAAGTAAAGAGAGTCAAAGAGACTAGTTGGGAAACTGTTAGAATAATTCAGAAGGATGGCCTGAGCAAAAATGGTGGCGGTAGGGATTAAGAAATAAACGGAATAATGAACAACATAAACTGATGAAGAAAAATAGAACCAGAGTCATAGAATCATCAAACAGACTGTCAAACCTCATAGGGAAGGCAGGAGAGGGGAAGGGTGGGTAAGAGATCAACCAAAGGACTTGCGTGCATGCATATAAGCATAAACCCATGGACACAAACGCTAGGGGGGTGGGGTAAGGGCATGTGCTGGGGAGTGGGAATGGCCAGGGAAAGGTCAATGGGGGGAAAAGGAGACATATGTAATAATTTAATCAATAAAGAATTTAAATTAAAAAAAAGAAATAGAATGAATTTGAGAAATATTTATGAGATCAATTTGGCAGCAATTAATTATTGTTGAGATGTGAGAGCATGAAGAAATGAAAGGAGTGAAGAGGGCTCCTAAATCCCTGGCTTGAGCAAACTGATGATGGTTTTTCACTCAGTGAGGCTGGGACACATGAGGATGAGCAGATTCAGGAGGAAAGATGGTGATGTGGTTCTGTCCTTGCTAATGTGAGATGTCTGTGAATCTGCCATAAAACATATCTACTAGGCAAGAGAGGAGCTCAAAAGAGACATCTCAGCAGCAGATACTGATTTAGGACTTATCCACTAATGAATGGTAATTGAAACCAAAATATGACAACATTTCCCCAAAACTCTAAAAATAAGTGAATAAAGTTTTGAAGAGCACCTGGAGAATGAGAGCAATTTAGCCTATTCAGGAACATTCTCATTTTTAAGAGGTGCAGGCTGGGATAGGGATTGGGCAGAAAATGAGTTCTTTTCATACATATAAAGTTGGAGGAGACTGAACAATTCAAAAAAGAAAGTAAGTTGGAATTAGGTTCTAGCAAGCATCTTCCTGCTTCAGTACGTGTCAAGGAGTAACAAAGGTTAAAATGGAGAAGTAACCTTGCTTATGTATCTTTGCTCTTTACTGGACTTCTTCAAATTGTTATAAAAAATAAAATAGGTGTAAACTCACTATAAACCTTTTAGCAGGAAGATACAAGGCTCCAGGGGGAAAAAAAACTATCTGTGCAAAATATTTGTAGACTTGATAATATTCTTAAGAAGTTACTAGGAACTTGGGAATGCAATAAAAGCAGTCAATGTAATAAATTAGAAACTTTAGTAATATCTTCAGGAAAAACAACAAAAATATGCCAAAGGAAGGAAATATATAAATTATAGCATACTCTTAGCCAGAGCATAATCAGTTACCTATCTATAGCAATGTAAACAGTATTTGCTAATTTTCA